GAAGGAGGTATGGGGCGGGGGAAGGAGGCAGTGGAATCTAAGAGCTACAGTGGGACTCCTGGGTTCTCTCCTCAGTTGTTGCCATCATCCTTGGGCCAAGCGGCTTCAGCTGCTTGTGCCTCAGTTTCCTGTTGCTCCCTGCTCTGGGCGTGGGGTGGGTGGGGGGTGTTTCCTGTTACTGAGCCCTGGTCTGCACTCTCCCCCTGCAGAGGAACAGGTATCCCCTTTCTGCAGCAGTCACGGCTCCTGGTGCAGTAACAGCCAGCAGGGGACTGTGTCCCCATCAGCCTGTTTTTATACTACACGTCCCATCTGCTGCTAACCCTATGGTGCTCACCGGGAGCCCCGGGTGTTGAGTGCCAGGGCTCTCCTTCCACCCTCTGCTGGCATTGGGGTGTACCTACTGTTCCCCTTCCCCTTACGTAACTTAGGGCCACTCAACACAGAGGCAGCGCTGGATCATTGTTTTCCAATCCCTGTTCACTGGGCCCTGGATAGCTAATCTGGATCCTGAGCAGGGAGGTGTGTGTATGAATGAAGCTAAACTGGATTCAGAAGCCACAGGTGTGGGAGTAGCTGAACTGGTTCTCAATCTGGATTCCAGTTAGCCGCATGCATACATAGCTAAACTCGTTCTCAGTCTAGATTCCTGTCCAGAGGCCAGGTGTGAATGTAGCTAAACTTGTTCTTAATCTGGATTCCAATTGCCCAAGTGTGAATGAAGCTACCCTGGTTCTCAATCTGGATTCCAATTGGCCATGTGTAATGTAGCTAAACTCATTCTCAGTCCTGATTCCTATCATGAGGCTGCATGTGTGAATATAGCTAAATGGTTTCTCAATCAGGATTCCAGGTGGGAGGCCATGTGTCAATATAGCCAAATTAGATTTTTTAATCCAGATTCTAATCTGGTTTTACCAGGAAACGTATATGGGGTCAAGCTGGTTCTTAAGGTGGAAGCCAACTTACAGAAGCAGTTCTTAAATTCCATCTTGTTCTCCAATTGTTTTGCTCAGTGTAAATGGGGCCCGCTCAGCCTCATTCCTGGCGGGCAGCCACACTGGTTTAGAAACCAGATCAGTATTAGAAACTTGCTTGAATTGCCATATAGACAAACTTTTAAGGAAGCAGTACAAAGGGTAGTAGAGGTAGAGTAGGACCATGGGTGGACAAAATGGACAATTGAGACAGCTGTGCTGTGCCAAGACAAGGAGTCAAGCATCAACGGGTAACCAACCACACAGCATGATGTGGATTACAGGAGGGAGAGATGGGAGCAAGGACTCCTGGGTTCTATCCCTGTTCAGGGAGGCGAGCAGGTTCTAATGGTTAGTGTTGGGGGCCTAGGAGTTAGGACTCCTAGGTTCTGTCCCCAGCTCTAGGAAGGGGATAGGGTCTAATGGTTTGGGGACAGGGGAGAGGAGACATCAGGCTTTCTGGGTTCTGTGTCTCTGTTGTCCCACCCTGTAACTGAGGCCAAAAGGAAAGCTAAGAAGTGGGTTGCAGGCTGTGAACTGTTCTCCCACGTTGAAGGGATGGCTGTATTTCTCTGGCCTCCCTCAGAGGGGTGCTGTTGGGTGGGTTCTGCTCCCCCCCCCACCCCCCAATCCAGTCTTGTCTCCGTTATCTCAGGGCACATGAACACAGCTAGTGTTCGCGGCTTAGTACCGAAGCAACATATCTTTTTAAATTAAAAATGCAAAACTGAAAAGTAAGAGGCTAAAATCCACATTGTGCCAGGGTGGGGGGAGCAGGGGGATGGAGGTTCTTACGGGCCACTGCCTCCCTCCAGGGTCCTGTTGGATGGTAGCTCTAGGCTTCAATAAAGCAGAGACAGAGCTCATGTGCGTGTGGTTCTTAGTCCTCCAGCCATAGCTGGCTCCAGGACCTCCGTTTCCACTGGCAGAAGCGTCGCCTTGCTCCATTGAAGGCTAGGAATCTGCTGCAGAGACGGTAGAACAGAGGTGAGACCTCTGGAGGAACAAGCAAGGATGGTGCTGCTGCATGCTTCCACCCTGGGATCTCCAGCACCAGTTGGGCATGGACCTTCAACCCTCCCCTGTCCCCAATGGGCATGAGTCTTCTCCACTGATGTCCCACCTCTTCAATGTTCTTCCACCCCTGTTGGCCATGGATTTTCTCCAATGATGTCCCACCCCTCCCTACCTTCTCCATAGCTGTCACCCCACTAGAATTAACTGGATTGTTCTGTGCTCCTCACGCCTTCCACTACCTCCTCCATCCTCAACCCAAGGTCTCTAAAAGAACACATTCTTACCTCTCTTGACCACCCCCTCCTCTAAACATGAGGATTTGTCTGCATTCAGCATCACTCCAGTTATGGAAACAAATTGAGAGGATGGCCCAGTGGCTTGAGTGTTACCCTAGGACATGAGAGGCCTGAGCCCAAGTCCCTACTCTACCACAAACTCCCTGAGCTCATACATAGTCTGTGCCTCAGTTTCCCCAGCTGTAAAATTAGATAATAGCATTTTCCCTCCTCACAGGGGTGTGAGAGGATAAGCAGAGATTGCGAGGTAGTCTGATACATAGGTGATGGGGCCCAGATAAGTACCTTAGCTAGACAGACACACCAGTGCAGACTATCTTAATTCAAATTGAAGCCTAGCATCTAGCTCTTTGTCTTAAGCAGATTCCTGGCCCCAAATTTAATGTTGATTAAGAGTGTCTACACTGATTTAACTAGATCTGGTTTTAAAGTCAGATTGGTTAAAATTGGGCAGCTTTGAAGACAGAGAGCTGCCTATTATAATCTGTGTGGCACTAGCCCTGTGGAGCCTTAGTCATTGATCACAGCTCATGGGGCCAGGCACAGTACAAACAGAACCAAGAGCAGCTCCCTGACCCAATCATTTCATTTTGGGCCCTTTGGCTTCTAGCCCCAGCTCTGGAAGGGGAATGGTGTCCAGGGGGTTAGAGGAGGGGAGCTGGCAGCCAGGACTCCTGGGTTCTGTCCTAAACTTAATGTGTGTGCTCAGAGCGCAATTATTTCCGTTCCCTGTGCCTCAGTTTACTGTGGAGGGAAGGGCAGTAGGGGAGTCAGCCCACAAAGCACACCCAGACCTCTGCATGAGAGAAACCCGCTAAGAACAGAGAAAGGTACATGACTGCCCCTCCCAATGTGTGTGTGGTAGGACACCCCACCTGCTGCAGGGCACATGGGGTGGCTGGGGAGCAGCCCCTGTGCACCCCCTGTAGGTGTTACATAATCAAGGTTTGTAGGGTGCCAAGGAAGTCCCAGCTTGTCAGCCCTGCTGAGGAGGGGGTGAGTTAGTGGTGCTAGTGGTCAAGATGGAGGTAGAGTGGCAGAGATCACCCCACACAGCCAGGGGATCCCAATTCCCTCCAGCTGGGGGCAGTGCTGCCCACACCCCAGACACAGGCTCGACCCTGACAATCTATTTCTCCCTCAGCCTCGTGATCATTTCAAAGCACTTTTTATTAACACTTCTCATAGTTGCTGCCTTCCCTTAAAAAGGGAAAAACAAAAACAAAAGGTCCACAAACCCCGGTTGGTCCTGGCCTGGGGCAGAGCCACAGCGACCCCTGGTGGGAGGGGATGGCAGCACCTGTGTCCCTCCCACCAGTTCATGAAGAGGTTAAAAAGCTTAAAAAAAGGAAAAGAAACGAAAAAAAATAAAGTAAATTGAGAGTCAACCCCCAACTGCTCCTCCCAGCAGCCCCCCCGCTGCCAGCAACAGAAGCAGCGTCAGGGAAGGAGGGCTCTGTCCCCACCCCACCCCCAGCAGTGTGGAGAACAGAATGGGGGTGGCGAGGGCCCACGGGGGGTCATTACCCCAGTGCGGTTCACTCACCCTCCCCACCCCAGGAACGATCAAGCGGAGGGCAGCTGATAGTTGGCGCCCGGTCACTTCTGCTCCGCCGTGGCATCCTCGAACATGCTCAGGAGGTTCCTGGGCTCGAAGGAGCCATGCTGGCCTGCATCCTGGGGGGCGCTCTCCTCCCTCTGCGCTTCCTCCTCCTCGTCCTCCTCGAAGGCCAGGGTGCGGCGGAGGTTGGGGGAGCCGGGGCTGCTGGGGGGGGAATCCGGGCTGATGCGGCTCAGGTTGGGGCTGCCCTGGACGGCTGAGGACCTAGGATGGGGGAACCAGGGCGGGATCAGGGCAGTGGGAGATGGAGACACCCCCTGGGGGTCCATCTAGACCATCCCCACCCAGGGCAAGATTGTCCCCAACTGTCTGTCCCCCAGCTAGCTTTGGGAGGGGAGTGGGGTCTAGCGGGTTAGAGGAGTGGGGGCTGGGAGCCCGGACTCCTGGGTTCTCTCCCCAGCTCCGAGAGGGGAGTGGGGTCTAGTGGGTCAGAGCAGGGGGGTGGAAGCCAGGACTCCTGGGTCCTCAAGTGTGCAGGAGCAAGGGAAGAGGCCCGCAGGACAGGTTGCAGCCCTGCCTGACACCCAATGTCTCACCTCGTCCTCCTGCTGCCAGTCTCCGGTGGAGAGAGGTGGCGCGGGGTGGAAGTGCTGCCCACGGAGGGACGCAGGTTCAGCGGCGGGGAGCTCGGGGGCCTGCCAGGGAAGCAGAGGCGTGAGGGAAGCCCCTGTGGGTGCAGGAGGGGCTGGCCCTGGGACCCAGCATTCCCCAGAGGAAGCTTGGGGAGTCCATCTCCCAACCACCATGTCCCCCCACAACCTCCAAGGAGCCACCCCAGCTATCCCACCCCAGGAGTACCCCATCCCTTAGAAGGGCCTCCATGCACCTCCTTGCTCAGGTAAGCTTGGGTACTCTCCCACGCCCCATCATCCCTATTACACCCCAAAGGGAGGAGAACCATATACCCCTGCCCCCTTGCCTCCATATGGACCCTTTTGTCCACTTGCCTCCATATGGATTACCCCATATTCTTAGCCCCCAAGTGCCCCACCCTGGCTTCCTCCTGCATTCCTACCTGCCACAGATATCACCCCCCCGCAACTCCTCCACATCTCATATTTTGTTCCCCCCACCTTCATACACTCCCAGTCGTCCCCCGCCATGTTCCTACCCCTCCCTAGTCCTAGATTCACCCCCATATCCTCCCTGCACCCCAGAAGTCCCTTCCTGCCCTGTGTGTGAGAGCACACCTGGGCAGTGCTGCCCTCTGCTGGAATGGATTAGGAGAAACAGTGCTGCCCCTACTGGAGGGGACGAGGGCCCATGGGTAGATGTGGGTGTGTTGTCCCCCCACTCACTTGTCCTGCGATAGCAGCTCCCCGGGGCAGGTCCGGTTATGCCGCCCGCAGACCCCCGATACCTCGAACACATCCTCCCCCAGGCTCCCATCTTCCTCCTCCTCCTCCTCCTCCTCTTCGTCCCAGGAGAAGCTGCTATCCAGCAGGGTGGCAAGTAGTGGGGAGCAGGGCGGGGTGACGGGCACACTGCGACGCCAGCTGGAGAGCCAGCGCGCCGGCAGGCACAGGGCAGCCCACAGCCAACGCACAAAACTCCCAGCACCCTGAGTGGGGGAGGGAGAAGAGAAAGTTCAACCAACAGGGTTGAAAGGCACCAGCAGAGCTGTGGGGGGGGGGGCAGGGCTGGGCTAGCAGGGGCTGCGGGTCGGGA